ATTGCAAATGAGATATTTATAGGTTAAAACATTTAGATTCTACCAAAAGATCATAATTAGATGACATAGGGAAACATAATATAATTTAAATGACGTAGGGAAATATGGTATTAAATGACCTAGGAGAATATGATATTAAATGATTTAAGGAAATAGTATTAAATGACTTACGGGAACATAATATTAAATGATTTAGGAAAATATAATATTAAATGATTTAAAAAATATAGTATTAAATGACGTAAGAAAACATGAATATAATTTAATTATTTAGAAAATGACCAAAATGATTTTATACATTCATTTTAAATTCTGTCCACACACGTGGACGAAATTAATGATGTTCTTTAGCTTCTTTGATTCTCCAAATAGTTCACATGTGCTAAGTTTTTGTTGTATCCATCTTTATACAAAATCTTGAAATGTATGTTTTATCTTCTTGACTTGAAATCTTATGATTGGATCAGCTGACATTGTAATATCTTTTTCATACTTTTCTTTAATGCTTTTTGAATCCATATCCACATCATAAGATGTATGTTTTTTTTTCACTCACCAATCTCTAATTGGACAAGTTAACCCTATTTGTCTGACATGAAACATATACGTTTAAAATCCTTCAGGATTCCCCCTACTGATGGAAGGACTACTCATTCTTTGAACCCAGACTCCCACCCACAACACAGTATAACTGTATTGATGGCTTCTTTCTTTGTCTCCTAGAAGATGACAATGTTTGGGTTTGCCTTGCCTACAACCGCTTTCATTTGTTTCCTTTTAAGCTCACTCCTCATCTCATTGACATCCAACTCAACACTCTCATAAAGTCACCTATACTCCCTTCCCTTTCCTTGAACTTCCTAATGAGGCTTTTTGTGCAACTTTTCTAATATTGGACTCTGCATGTTTCTTTCTTCAAAAGTGTTCTAGGTGGTGCTACCAGTCATACTTCTTTTCTTGACTCCCTTACTAATCTACATCCCATTTGTTCACTAGGTTAGTTGGGTTTCCTTGATCCAAGTTTATCAATAGAGACTTCATGGCTATAGCATTTTCCATCAACACCTAGCTCTCTCGCGGTATCTAGACTAGTACAGTATTTTCTGATTGTTTTGGGGATTAGATAGGGTACCCTTGCTTGATGTCTCCTTATCTTTTGCATCCCTGCCAAAGACTGTACAAGAGATAAGTCAGGGTATGTGTTTAAGCTAGGAAGATTACCAGGATACTCACGAGTAGTTCCTAAGGCATTTGGATGTTGCTCCAGTTCCTTCGCCAACAAATGTTGTTTGTCCATGTTGCCCTCATTCTCTAGCTCTTGACCTTTGTGATGTTGCATCTCCTTGACTTCTTGCCCTGCCTAATTGCCCTTATCGGCAAACATGAATAGTAAGCCATCCTATATGCCACTTACATCATTACCCTGTTCCTCTATCTCATTGTTAAATTCTTTGATTTGCCTCTATATCATCAAAATCCTCCTCTTCCTCCACTTCCATAAGATCAAAAGAATAAACTATGGACATAGATTCCTCTACCTCATCGTCCTCCTCCCTATCCTCCTCTCCATATGCTCTTTGGTTGTTATTTGCCTTTGCTTGGTATAATTATCTCTCTGTTTGCATAACAATTTTAATTCCAACACCCATGCATTGTAGCGCTCAGACTCATTTTCAGCAGTTTTTGTGAGGACAGCTCAGCCTCCAGTTGAGAAGGAGAGGTCCACCACAATGATCAATTGCAGCCGCATCATTTCCTTTCCGTTACATTGCA